GCCCTTTTAATGCCTTCTTTCGGACTCTTCAAAGGGAGCGACAAATCAGCCCACTCCTTAAATTCAAACATTCAGACCCCTCCTGGATTATTATTTTTTATCTGGGTTGATTTTTTTTTTTAATTGCTTTCATCTTCTATCTATTAATAATAGATCTGAAGAGCCTGTATTTTATTTAGCCAAGAGAATCTCTTGTTCGGCATTCAATATTTGCTTTTCTCTTCTAATTATCCCTGGAACCTGCCTGCATTTGTTTTCCTAACGTCCCCTTTGCAAACTGATTGCATGCCGTTGTGTGTGTGTGTGTGTGTGTGTGTGTGTGTGTGTCTTTCTCCTCCTTCTTTTCTTTACATCTCCTCTTAACCGGGTGCCCTTTGCCGGGTGTTTACATCAGATTTCATCAAAATGAAATTCCGCTAGTTACCCTTCCAGCTACTCTTTAAATATTTCCACAATATGGGTCCCTGTCAAGACTCGTGAGATCTGGCCTTATTATTTCTTCCAGAAAAGCACTTAACATTTTATAGCTCCAGACCCAGAAGAAATACAGCGGTTTTATGTTTCAGCGGGGAATTATTTAAAATGTGTAGAATAATGCAAAGAAAACTCTCTTGTGTTTGCTAGCCTCTGTCCCAAGCCTTATCCTCCACAAATGTGCCTAATCTTCGCTTTAAAAGCCATGCAAGTTGGTGACCCCCATTGCAGGCGTGAATTCTGTGTGCTGTGAATTGGGACGCATGATGCATAGGTAAAGGTAAAGGGACCCCTGACCATTAGAACATAGAATAGAATCATAGAGTTGGAAGAGACCACAAGGGCCATCGAGTCCAACCCCCTGCCAAGCAGGAAACACCATCAGAGCACTCCTGACATATGGTTGTCAAGCCTCTGCTTAAAGACCTCCAAAGAAGGAGACTCCACCACACTCCTTGGCAGCAAATTCCACTGTCAAACAGCTCTTACTGTCAGGAAGTTCTTCCTAATGTTTAGGTGGAATCTTCTTTCTTGTAGTTTGGATCCATTGCTCCGTGTCCGCTCCTCTGGAGCAGGAGAAAACAACCTTTCTCCCTCCTCTATGTGACATCCTTTTATATATTTGAACATGGCTATCATATCACCCCTTAACCTCCTCTTCTCCAGGCTAAACATGCCCAGCTCCCTTAGCCGTTCCTCATAAGGCATCGTTTCCAGGCCTTTGACCATTTTGGTTGCCCTCCTCTGGACACGTTCCAGTTTGTCAGTGTCCTTCTTGAACTGTGGTGCCCAGAACTGGACACAGTACTCCAGGTGAGGTCTGACCAGAGCAGGTCCAGTCCAGTCATGGCCGACTCTGGGGTTGCGGCGCTCATCTTGCTTTATTGGCTGAGGGAGCCGGTGTACAGCTTCCGGGTCATGTGGCCAGCACAACTAAGCCGCTTCTGGCGAACCAGAGCAGCGCATGGAAACACCGTTTACCTTCCCGCCGGAGCGGTACCTATTTATCTACTTGCACTTTGACGTGCTTTCGAACTGCTAGGTTGGCAGGAGCAGGGACAGAGCAACAGGAGTTCACCCCGTTGCGGGGATTCGAACTGCCGACCTTCTGATCGGCAAGTCCTAGGCTCTGTAGTTTAAACCACAGCACCACCCGCATCCCAACTATCACCAAAAAATGGCCAGGCTGCCCACGTAATGCAATCAGTGACCATTCTCAGGTATCCTGGCAAACAAGATTTCTGCTGTTTCACCTCCTGTGATGTATTTCTGCTGTAGACCACTCCCTTCTGTGATGTATGTATGATGTTTTGGGGGGTGGTCTTGAGCTGCAGGGTGGGCTTGCACACCATTGTTCTGGGTTCCTCTTCCCTCCCTGCGCAGGTTGAGTGAGGACCCTGTTGCAACAGTTTAATAAAGATCAGGCTTACTAGCCGCTTTGCTTCTCAATATGCTCTGGTTGGCCTCTGTTATTTTCTCCTACCGATAGAGAACACACTTAAGGACTCTTTACGATCTCTTGGATACCCCATAAAGGAAAAGGAGCAGTTTTTTCTCATAACAGCGTGTGACATTAACATATGAGAGTGCTGGAGGTGAAATAGTTAAACAGGTTACCCAATCAGAACCCAGGGGGGTGGAGTCAGAGGGACTATAAAACCAGCTCTGGGAGGGGCGAAGGGAGGAGTTCGTTGAGAGTTGGGTGGTTGGTTGGAGTGGGAGTGAATTGGGATAGAGTCTGTGGGTAGGTTGAGTTAGTGTAGCGAAGTAAGGTGAGTCAGGAACAGTTAAGAACTAGGAAGACAAGTAAATAGAGTGGTACCTCAGGTTACATACACTTCAGGTTAAAGACTCCACTAACCCAGAAATAGTGCTTCAGGTTAAGAACTTTGCTTCAGGATGAGAACAGAAATCGTGCTCCGGCAGCGTGGCAGCAACAGGAGGCCCCATTAGCTAAACTGGTGCTACAGGTTAAGAACAGTTTCAGGTTAAGTACGGACCTCCGGAATGAATTAAGTACTTAACTCGAGGTACCACTATATCTGAGAGGTGGTTTAGTGAGTGAGAGCAGGTAGCCGAAGTTATAGGTCTGGATAGGCACCCCTTGATTGTAATTGACCGATACTGTTTATGAAACCACATGCTTGTTAAACTGCAATAAATAAACAGAAGTTTATGTTCCAATTTAACCCTGACTGGACTCAGTATTGTACCAGGTAGGGCCTGGGTGGTGGCAGTGAGAAATCAAGTGGTGGCATGGGGATCAATAGACGGTGAAACGTCCGGGGACCCTGTGTGATCGCCACACAGGGCGGTCAGTTTCCTTTAAATTAATAAAATAAATGAAACCTTACTGAATGCTTCAGTAGAGGAGCGTCTTAAAACAAACACCATCTTTGAAGTACATGGAGATGCCTTGCAAACACAGGAGGAGGGGAAAGGACTTATCGGCAGACTTCCAGTCACACGGCCATGGGACTGAGAGAAGATGAGGCTCCCATTTTCTTTAATTACACGCATCTCTCTTTTTCGAGTAGCGGGAAGGCACAGCCAAAGCCAGGAGACCTTAGGGACTCTGGCTGCTCCTGCTCCTGCTGTGCTCTTTATTTCTCCTACAACACTTTCACTGTTCTTCCCTTCCCTTCTACGCCTCTCTAAGGATGGATAGAACTGGTTTCCGTCCCTCATTTTTCCAGGCCAATATTCCACCTTTTATTTATTTATTGAATTTATATACCGCCCTATACCTGGGGGTCTCAGGGCAGTTCACAGAATAAAATCAAGATATAAAACCACAAAATACACAATAAAAATAATAATAACAACAACCCAATAGCCCCACCCCACACAAACAAACCCAAAGAGCATAGGATGTAAATCAGATCAACCAAAGGCCTGGTTAGAGAGACCTTTGCCTAGCACCTAAAGATGTATAATGAAGGCACCAGGCAAACTTCCCTGGGGAGAGCATTCCACAGAATTGATTCTTTTGAATTATGGTGCTGGAGGTGACTCTTGAGAGTCCCATGGACTGCAAGAAGATCAAACCTCTCCATTCTGAAGGAAATCAGCCCTGAGTGCTCACTGGAAGGACAGATCCTAAAGCTGGGGCTCCAAAACCTTGGCCACCTCATAAGAAGAGAAGACTCCCTAGAAAAGACCCTGATGTTGGGAAAGATTGAGGGCACAAGGAGAAGGGGACGACAGAGGATGAGATGGTTGGATAGTGTTCTCGAAGCTACCAACATGAGTTTGACCAAACTGCAGGAGGCAGTGGAAGACAGGAGTGCCTGGCGTGCTCTGGTCCAGCGGGTCACGAAGAGTCAGACACGACTAAACAACTAAACAACTAAACAACAACAACCCCCAAGCTACAAACCTGCTCCTTCAGAGGAAGTGTAACCCCATCAAGAGCAGACAATCTCCCATCCCTCTGTTCCAAGGAACCACCCACTAATAGTGTCTCAATCTTATCTGGATTGAGCTTCAGTTTGTTGGCTCTCATCCAGTCCGTTACTGAGGAAGACACTGGTCCAGCACTACCACTGCCTCACCTGCAGATGTAAAGGAGAATTAGAGCTGAGTGACATCAGCATACTGCGGACGACGTACTCCAAACCTCCGGATAATCCCACCCAGCGGTTTCATGTAGATGTTAAACAACGTGGGGATAGGATTGAGCCTTGTGGAACCCCACGTTGAAGGTTCCATGGGGCTGAAAAGCATCCCCCAAGCAACACCCTCTGGGAATGACCATCCAAGTAGGACTGGAACCACCGCAAAGTGGTGACACCCACTCCTAGTTCGGAGACTCACTCCAGAAGGATACCATGGATGATGGTATCGAAAGCCACTGAGTGGCCGAGAACAATTTACAGGGACGTGTTTCCCTTGTCTCTCTCTCCACAGAGGTCATCGTACAGGGCGACCAGAGCAGTTTCTGTGTCAAAACCAGGCCTAAACCCCGACTGAAATATGTGTGCCGGCATGGTTGCTCATGAGCGAACAGGCAAGACCCCCACTGGTCTTTTCAAGGCTTTATTATCGGAACAAAAACATTCACAGTGCAGAACGTCTCAATTCCATGTCTTGCTCAGTCACTAGCAGAATCTGGGAGTGGGCGGTCCTTAAACTTTCCCCAGCAGAGTAGTCTTTTGACCCCCATCCTACGCCTCCCCTCTCTGCGCGTAAACCGACTGCGCAGAGAGGGCGTGGGCAGAGGGGGACCTGCCTCCCCCCCCCCGCTTTGCTCCTGCTCGATGTTGTGGCTCTCCCTTGCCTCCTCCGAGCCCTGCCCCCCTTCCCCACTAGAGGCGTGGCTTCCCTCCTCCGTGGAGGAAGTGCTGCTTCTCACGATCTTTGGAGGCTCCCTGTAACCCAACTGCCCTTCCACCTCTCGCCTCTGAGCTGATGGCAGTTCCCTGACAAGTTTCTTCCAAATGCGCCTTTGGCATCATAGAACTGTAGAGTTGAAAGAGACCCAAGGATAATCTAGTCCAACCCCCTGAATTGCAGGAATATTCGGCTGGCCCATACAGGAATCGAACTGACTCCCTTGGCATTATCAGCACCATGCTCTAACCAGCTGAGCTTCTTTCTTTTTTTTAAGTCATGAAAATTCATTTGTTTCATTTACTAACCAAAAGGGTTTGCAAAATATGTTATCAGCTGTATTACTATAAAGCTGGCAGTCGCCACATGTAAACCTGTTGATAATTTAGTTGGAGAAGATTATCTAGCCGGGAAAAGATGTTTCCATACAACCCTGAAGGAATAGCATTAGAATCCCGTAGCAAAACTATATAGAGGAATGAATATTGTAAAGATGCTCGTGCGATGGGGAAATGTTTATGTTATTTTTTTATGCCCATGTTTAGTTTATCTAGTTTTATCTTTTCATGCATCTGTGAAAAACCAATAAAAATTAGGTTAGAAATCTTTTGTCAGCATTTCGGTGCAAATTACTCCTTACAAACACATTTGTGCGATCGATACTCCCCCAATGTAATGCATTTTTTATATGTTGCTTTCACACAGCTATGCCCTCTTTAGGCACATTTTTCCTAATGTAAGTAATTTTGTACCCAGAATTGGGTTGGAGAAGTGCATCACAACATCTTTAGAAGTACAGATTTTGGGGAAAAGGTGGCTGTACCTCAGTTGGAGTGTTGTTTTCAGAAGTGTGAATTTGGTAGGGTTGCATTAAGATCCACACCAAACCAAATTGCTTCCCCAACCACTGTCATTGAAATTCTAATCAATATTGATCCAGAGCAGATTCCAACGTATAGTTAGCAGAGTAAAAACATAAACATGTTGCAGGATTCCCCAAAAGTAGACCAGAGGCCATTGTATTTCATCCAGCAGAGCTTTACTGCTACTACAGGCAAATGAGCATAAAGGCAAATGAACAAATCCAATACATTCAGGATTGGCACTGTCCATAAGAAATCCAGTTGCAGCAGACTTAACTTGAACTTACAATAACTTCTAATAAGACTAAAACCTTAACATACTTAAGCATACTATGTACAGAACACCATACCAGAAGGGGAAAAGAGACAGAAAAGAGTGAACCCCAGTCTCTCCTTCTGGCCTTACTTTTATAGTCAGCATGACCTTGACAGAAAGAGATAACAGACCCAGTGTAAGCCAGCTGTATTCAGCTTCTCTGAAGGAATAACCCAAACATCATGAACCTTCTGCCTCTTTCTTTCACACAGAGAAGCTTCCAGAACTCTCATGAATTAATTAGAATAGGAAAAATCTCTACACAATCAGACAAATACTTTCTGCACTAAGAAAAGCAAACTGACAACCACTACTCTCTGTCTCTTGATTTCCCCAAAGGCAAGAAAGAGTTCAGCTCAGGATCTGGGCCCTTTCTAGCAGTAGTGCAGTTAAGGCAGGCATAGGCAAACACGGCCTTCCAGATGTTTTGGGACTACAACTCCCATCATCCCTGACACTGGTCCTGTTAGCTAGGGATGATGGGAGTTGTAGTCCCAAAACATCTGGAGGGCCGAGTTTGCCTATGCCTGAAGAGTCGGTGGAAGAAGATTGGAAGAAATTTAAAGACTATTTACAGAAATATTGCAAAATTAATGAATGTTAGAATGATGTTGGATTGAAGTTAAGTGGTTTCTAGCTGTACAGGTACAAAAGAATATGGAAAAATTGGTTTCTAATATATAAAAATTTAATGTTATAATATATCAAGATTAAAGATTAGGATTAAAAAGGAGGAAAGGAATTGTTGGATTAACAAATTGAATTGGAATACAAAGAGGGAGGTATGAGGAGGTCCGGAAACAAGTAAATGTAAAAGAAGTGATGAAAAGATGGAATTGTTTTTAACTGTTTTTTCTTTTTTCTACTTTGTATTTTTCCTTTTTATTGTCAATCTTTTTATTAATGTGATTTTTATTCTTTTGAAACTTTAATAAATATTATTTTTTTAAAAAGAGTTTGCCTGTGCCTGAGTTAAGGCCTGCAAATGAGGCAGTTCCTCCAGCATCATCAGAGGCCCTCAGCCAATTCCAGCCACCTTCCTTCCTAAAACCTGTCCAGGGGATGTCATTGCCTCCTAGCTCCCTCCTCCTTGGAACATAAGAGGAACTAGCTAGATCAGACCTACAGCCCTTTTGGTCCAACATCTCATTCTCTCAGCGGTCAACCAAATTCCTGCAGGTAACCCGCAAGCAGGATGTGAGCACAGCATCATCTCTCCCCTCGTATGGCTTCCAGCAACTGGTACCCAGAAGCGTTGCTGCTTCCAATCATGGAGGCAGAGCAGAACCATCAGGACTCGTAGCCATCAATAGCTTTCTCCTCCATGAGTTTGTTCAATTATCTTTTAAAGTGACTGCCGAGACCACATAACACCGGTCCTGAATGAACGACATTGGCTCCCAGTACATTTCCAAGCACAATTCAAAGTGAAGGTGCTGACCTTTAAGGCCCTAAATGACCTTGGCCCAGTATACCTGAAGGAGCATCTCCACCCCCATCGTTCTGGCGGTTCCCTCAATGCAAGAAGTGAAGCTACAGGGAACCAGGCAGAGGGCCTTCTCGGTGGTGGCACCTGCCCTGTGGAATGCCCTCCCACCAGATATCAAGGAAATAAACCACTATCTGGCTTTTAGAAGACATCTGAAGGCAACCCTGTTTAAGGAAGACTGTAATGTTTGATGCTTTGTTGTGTTTTTAATATTCTGTTGGGAGCTGCCCAGAGTGTCTGGGGAAACCCAGCCAGATGGGTGGGGTATAAATAATAAATGATGATGATGATGGTGATGATGATGATGATGATGGTGATGGTGATGATGATGATGATGATTGAAGTTGGAGGCCCTCACTGCCTCCTGGAGGTCCCAGGTCCTGACTCAGTATGGCTACTTCTTAGCAGGGGAAGGTCCAGAGCTCAGCAGAGAACATCAGAAGGTCTCAGGTTCCACCTCCAAGTAGGTTTCCCTGCTTGGGAAGGACCCCTGCATGGAATCTTGAAGAGCTGCTGTCAGTCAGTGCAGGCAGTATGGAGCTAGCTAGGTCTAACTCGGTTTAACGTAGTTTTCTAGTTTTCTCCCTCCTTCCTTTCTCCATAGAAGCAACCAGGAAAAGCAAGTGTCGGATTTGGACTCAGCTCTGTTCGGCAGGCTGGTTTCCACCATGCTTGGAAGGTCATCCAAGAGGCAGTGAACCCAGAGAAATGAGCACAGGTAGCATAAGACTCTTGCACACACACCCAAACACTGCCAACGCTGCCTTCTCAGGCTGCAACCGATGGAAGTAATGAGGAAGTTTGTTTTGTGCAGCAAGAACGGGGTGAGTTCCACCCTGTGGCCTCCTCATTGTGCACTGATTAGATATCAGTCATTCTGCTCCATCCTTTCCCAGCTGGAGAAAAACCAGAGGAGCCTTTGATTTGCTTATTGGTTGGCGCCAGCTGTGTCTGAACCACAGCAAAGGCGCAGGCAGGTAGAGATGTTGAGGAGAATCCTCAAGCAAATCCTTCTCATTCCAACTTTCCAACTTTTTGTTTTAAGTGAGATTGATCTTGCAGATCCAGAATTATTATTATTTTCTCCAGGAGGAAAGCAGGTTTTCAAAGTCTGTTAAACTCCGTTTGGCACTGGAAAATTGAAGCACCTGGTCTCAGGCTGAGGAGGCAGTGTCACCTGAGTGCAGCAGCGACCGTCCTCGCTTGTGATTCCCAGGAATTGGAATTCTGAAGCATATTGCCTCTGACCGTAGGGGACGGAACGGAGCCTGATCTTCCATTAGTGCTAAAGTCTGTCTGTCTGTCTGTCTGTCTTGTGGGATGTAACATAAGCAGTCAAGTGGAGCGTCTCCACCCCCATCATTCTGCCCGGACACTAAGGTCCAGCGCCAAGGGCCTTCTGGCAGTTCCCTCATTGCGAGAAGCAAAGCTACAGGGAACCAGGCAGAGGGCCTTCTCAGTAGTGGCACCCGCCCTGTGGAACGCCCTCCCATCAGATGTCAAAGCAATAAACAACTACCTGACATTCAGAAGACATCTTAAGGCAGCCCTGTTCAGGGAAGTTTTTATTTATTTATTTTTTATAATTAATATTTATTAAATTTTCAAAAAGTAACAAGTAACAACAAAAATTTCCAAAAAAGTTTGAAAATACAAATAAAACGAAAATAATACAGAAATGATAAAGAAGAAAAAACCCAGCCGCAAAAAAGAAAAAAAAGAAAAACAGAAAAACAGAAATATAAAATCCTTTACGATCTCCATTAACTTCCTTTCTAGACTTCCTCCTCCTTCCCTCTCTTGTTTCTTAGTATTTAATTTTTACAGCAAATCCTTTCTGTTTTTTTTTTAACAATCTATCATTGCATTTCCTTATTCTATTTTCCCTCTTGTCATATAAAAACTTTAAACCTCAAAGCTTATATTCAATATTTAGCAAATTCTTACATCATTACCTTTTTTCAAATCATTTACCAATCCTTACTTAAGTCATATAATTTCATTCAACATCCTTCAAACATTTATAAACATTCCCAGTATTAAAAAATAAGAAAACAAAAACAATAAGTCAAATTCAATCCAGTCAACTTCCAGCCTCCCCTCCCCTGGACCCGGGATTGTCAGTCCTTTTAACCTCAATAATCCAGCTCCTTAACCTGGTTGTCTCATATCCGAGGCCCTCAAGTCTCTTTCTTGCCCCTTTCGCCACTCTTGTTGATATTTCCCTTTCCGTCGTGGATACTCCAGCAAGAAGATGCTTTTGACTCTTTGCAGCAAGTCCATCCCAAACCCATTACCCAAGCCAGACAGCAGATAATACCACTTCCAATTTCCACAAAACTTGGAGACTTCGACTACTCCATTCCTCTGATGGCCCATCACTAGACTCGGAAAGTCCAAATAACCATATAGAGGGGTGTCACTCCATCCCCCCATTTCCAAATCTGACCACATTTCATCTTTCCGAATCAGGTTTGTCCCAAGTTCATTTGTCAAGTTCAAAGACTGATCTTGCCCATCCATAGGTCCCTCCATCTCTGAAGCCTCCGTCGCTACAGCAGGTTCATATACTTGTATAGACTTTAACTGAATTT